GCCGAACGTATTCCCAGCCACCCGTTCAGGCCACCGAGCAGTCAGTTAAAAACATCTAACCCAGGTAAACACGGCCAGGAAGTGACACACATTGCAACAGCCTGCCTAACCTTTATTACTGATGTGCAAAATATCCAGCCCGGGACAAGTCAGAGGATGTGTCATTTCTTACTGGCCACATTACAGGGCTAGTGTGTTTCCAAGCCAGCTTTTCAGGAACTTAAATACCGACTGCCTCTTTCAACACTGATGCCTATCAGATAAATACGCTCCCATCGCACCCGAGTAGGCTGAGCTGGTGGCAAGCGGAGACTGCTGTAGGCTGAGCCTTTGAATTAAGCAGAGTGAGGCAAATACATTGTTTCCAGCAAGCTCTGAGTATCACTTTACCTCCAAATCCGAACATTCCCAGACGTGCAGATTCACAGCCCAGATCTGGCATTTTCCCAACAACTGGAAGACTCGAGGGCCAGGTGCTGGGACCCAGAGCTTTCCGGCCATCCCAGAGTTGGGGAATTCACAGTCCGCCGCGAGGACGCAGAGGCTCCCTACCTGATCTTCCCCGCGCACGCTTCGGACACGCGATGCAGCCCCCAAAACCAGAAAGAATCAGGGCTTCTCTCTCCTCCTGCTCGACGTCAGAGGCGAGGAGCTGACCTGGATGGCAGATGAGCCCCCACCAGCCGCCTGCTCCACCGTGGCGGGGGCCGAACATTAGAGTCGATGAACCAAGGGCTGATCGGTGCCGACAGCTCCTGCGTTCCAGCGTTTGCCGTGGGTCACGGTCTTGGCCAGAGCACGGTGCAGCGTAACCGCTACCATCAGTGAAGCGGTGCCATCTCCGTCCCGCACCCTCCCACCGCCTCAAACACGCGGCTCTACAGGAAAAATAACCCGTCCCCTCCACCGACCCCCCAGCTGAGACACGAAGCGGCCGCAGCTCTGCCTTCTTCAAGTGGGAAGGGCAGAACGAGGACTGAAGCGCCTGCAAGAGGATCATGCAGCTAAACCCATTATTTCAGATCTGCTGGAGTTACCGCAAGTCCCTGCACACTTGTCTAAAGCTTATTTCCCGATTACGTCGCGAGCAGGAGGGACAGAGGCCTCGCTCCCCCCGCAGCGTTGGGGTTGCTGTCCTGCTGATAGATGCCCGCAGGTAGCGCTTGCCCGTTTCTGAGAAATGCAGAGATTTGACCTTGAATGCATTCTCTGTCCCAAACGCAGAAGAAACTGTCTCATTCATATTTTACAGTTATTTTTCCCCTGTTAAACTCTTTGTCTGAGTTTTTAGTTTCTCGTACAGTCCCCAGGTGGTGGTCTATTAAATGCAATAACCACTGTGCGCTTTCAAAAGGGTCTCAGGGAGCTGGGCAGAGCCAGGCAGCCAGCCACACGCTCCCCACAAGGTGGAGTTCATACCCACTTGCAAAATGAGAAAATAAAGATGCTCGACTCAGGGTTATGCGGCAAGCTCGCGACGGAGAGAAAAAACAAGATGAGATGTCCTGGTTTCCTCTCGCCAGGGCTCATCACCAGACCTGCTCCCCTCAGCATGGAGCAGAATCCAAGTGTCATTTCTATGCCCTCTTTTGACTGACTACGCATCCCAGGCAGCCAATGTATTGGCCGAAAATTCAGAAGGAGGGCTGAGAGAGAAGCATCTGCAGAATTTCCACTAAGCAGCAGTATGCACCCAACATTGCTCTTTTACCTCTATTGCTGTGGAAAACCACAAATCCCATCCAGGTCTCCGCAGCCTACTGTGTCTGTCCTTTCTGTACTTGAAAAGCTCTGGTTACACATTCAGCTTGCTACTATTACTTTTAATTCAAGCAGGATAGTTAAGGCCCCTAATTGCTTATAACTGACCCTTGATTATATTTTTATGCAGTTACTGCATCTGGCCAAGCTGAGCCTCCTGAACCCAGAGACGTGGCTTGTGGCACAAAGCTGGCCATGAGCTCCTCTAAGACAAATTTGAGGCTTAAACCAAGAATATTCAGCACTAAAGAGAAGAGGCCTCCCTCAACGACTCTAATATAATATGAAAAGCACAGCTGATTTTTAAAAAAAGTCACTGTTTTCTTATACTTTAAGATAATTATGATAGTGAAAGAATCATGGGTCAGGAATTTCCAACAGCCCGAAGTGTAAAACTTCACTGTTTACTCTGCCTCTCCTAAAACCCAGGAAAGTCCCATTTCAGCACCCTCGCCACCCCCACGAGCACCTCATGAGCTGCGATTCCCAATACAACCCTGCTGATGGGACTGGAGGCACCTGCTGCCCCCAGCACAAATGAGAAGCCGGAACGAGCGGAGGCTGTCGAACGCCTGTTCATACATCTGAACCCGCTTGCAAGCCAGCACATAAGTGTGTTTTCAAAGCCCTGACCATTATACTTAGGTATTTTTAGCAAAGGCCACAGTTTATTATATGGCTTTCCTCCACTGACACAAAACCATATTTGCAATCGAGGGATTCTGATCACAAGATAGAAGCCACAAGAGAGGTTTCCAGGCATACACCAGAGCACAGAGATAAAAATACAGAACTTGCATAGTTGGGTGTGTTTAAGTGTTTAACAGCACTTTACACCAATTGAAAACAAAGCCAAAGATGAGCTTTAAAGATTTGCATCTCTAACTGCCACAGCACGCATCCTGTCCTGTGGATGAATGGCGAGGGGCAAAAGCTTTCAAAGAAGCATGGAGCAACAGAAAGGACGCTTCTCCAGAAGCGTCAGGGTGCCAGACGGCCCGAGAAACGCAGCGTCCCCCTACCGAAACGGCACTGTCCGAGCCCCGTCCTTGAGGGGCAAAGCACAGAGCAATTGGGAGAAATAACTGCAGCACGTACATCTTCCTCCAGTGGCACAAAAGGAAAGGCAAAGGCGGTTTCATAGCAGGGCGAGGGGGGTCAGGCACCGCCAGACCCTGCTCCAGGAGCACTGCTGCTCCAAGCAGGGGCTGATACCGCATTTAAACGGAGACAAACCCCTCACGTGTTCCTGCTCCGGGAGCGCCTAGAAGGAAGCGGCCCCGGGCACAGCCGCCAG